AAATAAATATTGTTTTTTATTGTTTTTTATTAAAAAATTTAGATGTTTTAAAATATTTAAAACATGTTTTAAAACAGATTGTTTTAAAATATTTAAAACATGTTTTAAAACAGATTGTTTTAAAATATTTAAAACATGTTTTATAACAGGTGTTTTAAAACATTTGCCATCTCTAGCATAGAGATCTTGTTTTGTAATATTTGGCAGAAAGGCCTCAATTTTGCTTTTTACAATAAAGTTGCGATATCTGTAATCTAAATCTTCTTCTGTGTCTTTGTTGTATTGTTTTTTAAATTTCTATTTATATTCTTCTAATTTCTCTTTGTCTACTTTTGCTAATAGATTCTCTAGTGCACATCTTGCTGCTGCTAAAATTTGTTATTCTTGTTTATTTCTAGAAATTTCTTTTTCAGTTTGTTTCACATAATTTGGCTTCTCTATTGTTGTTGTTTTTTTTGTTGTATTCGTCACATATTGCTTTACATGTTTGTGTTGTTTTCCTTTTGTTACATGTTGCATAGTTGTGTTATGTCAACAGATTTGCACTATAAGGTCAAGTGCTTTCTCTAAAAAATTACTTACAGATGATGAAAAACTGCTGTATTTTCAAGTTTTCCTTCTATATCTTGATGAGTTTTGACTTCTAAACTCTAGTCTTCTAAGAGACAGAGTATTGTTTTAAATTTTTCTTCTTTTTACTTAGTTATGTAAGCTTTGCTTCTTAGTGCTGTTCTTGAGTTCTGTTGATTTTGTGTTTTTGTTTTTCTGTAAAAATTTGTGTTTTAATGATCAGTAGAAAGAGTTGCTTGCAAACAAATGTATGTAGATCATTTTTTGTATAACAAAAACAAACTTTTTTAGTAAAATAATCAAAAATCTTAATATCTTAAAATTTCACATATAAAACCACCTTTGGTATTCTAATAAAAATTCTTGCTAAATTTTGCATATAACTATACTCTTGCTAAAATCCCAAGTTTTGCTCTAACCTAAAGTTAAAAAAATTTAATTTTTTTAATAAAAATTTGTTTGTTTATTTTATTACATATGTACAAACACATGTGTAAGCTTAGAAATTTTTTTCATTTTATTTCATTTTATTTCTATATAGTATTGTTTTTATTTTTATTATTTTTATGTATATAGCTCTTTCCAATTCCATTTTCATAGCAGTAACTGATTTTTTTTATCATGTAAATATTTTAATCAAGTATACTAAAATGGGGACGTCTAAAGCGGAGATAAATCACGTGAACTACAGACAATCAACTTTATTGTTAGGGTCACTTCTGCACTTTAGGATAGGGTTAGAATAGGTTTTAGGTAGTTATATATATGCAAAATTGCCTTCCCGACATTTTTAATTAACCTATCCAAGGGTGGGTTTAGGCTGTCGTTTTTTTGTATTTTTCAGGTTTTTCACTTTTCTTTCTCGTTTGGCGATCATCAAATTTCTATAATTTGATTGGTGGATGATCACGTGATTATCTCCGCTTTAGACGACCCCTAAAATGGCTGTTAATTGTGGCTTGGTGGCTTTTCTATGCAAGCGCGTATACGCTCCAAAAAATCGCACTTTTTGTTAATGCGCAGAAGATGTTTCATAGATAAAATATTGAGTTATGTACGATTTTTTGGTTTATTTTGATTTTTGCGTTTCTTCTGCGTCACCCCTAAACTTAAAACCTGATTGTCAATGAAATTTTTTAGGTTGGTAATACTAGGACAGTTTTTTCTATTTGTAAGATGACGCAAATCCGCCGATATGCAAGAAAAATGAAAAAAATTCTAAAACTAATGTCTAAACTGGCCTTTGGCATTAATTAAAAATGATGGGAGCCTAACTTTATATGCATGAAGTAGACGATTTAACTATAAACCCAATGAGCAAAAGTCTCTTCCTAAAGGAATCGAGGCTGTGCAGGCTGCGCAGCCTGCACAGTAAATTCAAAAAAATTGCCCATCCCAAGGTATAACATAAAACAAAATACCCAAACCAAACGCCGGTAACGAAATTTGTTTTTATACTGGTGATGCAGGAATCTTATTTATTGTCGATGGAATTTGCTGAACCTAAATTTGAGGTTCTCTTTTATATTCATATTCTAAAAAATTTTGCAAAAAAGTAAAGTTCATTGAACAATTTATAACAAGATAAATTTAGCTTAATTTTATTATATAATAAGTTGACAAGATAGCTAATTTAAAATGGTGCTAAATATAACTGGTGCAAGAGCAATACCAAGGTCTCTCACTATACTGGATTTCTTTCGGTTATTGCTAATGAGTTGATTTTGCAAATTACTTACTTTCAACTGGTGTTCTTCATTGACTTTGTCAACCATACGATTATAATCGTCTAATTTTTTAAGCATTTGATTATTCACATTATATAGTTTCTCGAACGCTTGTTCGTGAATGCATTTTTCTATAGCCTTGAATTTTTTTTCAAGTTGTTTCTGAAATCTTTCATTTTCAGCCTCAAGATTAATTATTTCTGATCGTAACTTTATTTCTTCTTGTAAAACTTCATATTGTTGACGTTCATTTTGTTG